ACTTTGTTAGTTCGTCCTAATTCATTGTCGTTCATGGCAAATAGATCCGCATATTTTAACAAAAGCTGGTTGAGTTGTTGTTTTTGATTCTCACTTATAGGTCCCATATTTACATCTGATAAGCTTTTAGTTGTCAATAAGTAACTCTCAACGACTTCTAGTTTCTTTCTTTCCTTGTCTGGTCTTTTTGATGGATTATCGATTTTGAAATGATTCATCATTTCTTGACTATTATAGAATATTTTTATTAATTCAACATCATCGTTCACATATCCAAGAATTGTTCCTTCTTCTAGGATGATGACGTGATCATTTTGGTTGACGAATGTGAGTTGGATCTTATATTCTTGATTAGCAGGAATATATTGATGATTACAAATAATATGATATTTTTCAATCATATTTTGATTTGGTTCGAAAATCAATGGTTTGGAACTGATCTGGGTTCCGTTTCGACTTTCCCAAGTGGCCATTCCTTTTGGAAAGATGGATATAGTTTTTTCCAAGAAAACGGGCATTCCTTTAGTTTCTTCTTTCTCGCTTTCAGGAATTTCTGAGGTGGTAAATATGTCGGCGAGTTGGTTAATCCGTCCAGTTGATCCGAAGCCTTTATTTCCTCGTTTACTTGTTCCAAGTTCTTTTCGTTCTTTTATTGGTTCCAATGAAGATACAGGTAAAATAGGTAAGTAGATTGCTTGTCCGATCTTTTCCTGTGGTTGTACAATATATTCTTCATCTGAATTATTGTTTAATAATAGGCCGATGTTTCCAGTATAGCCTGCATCAATGATTCCTCCTTCAACGGTTATTCTTTTGGCGGCTAGTGACGATCGTGATGCTAATTGCATCATTGTTCCTACTGGAATTTCGGCGGCAATATAAAGATCAATTTTTGTAGTGGTCTGGGGTGGAAGAATCAATGGTTGATTTCCGGGGTATCGAAGATCAAATCCGGCATCTGAATTATGGGCTTTCTCCGGTTTGATTCCTTTTCCACCGTCACTGTAGTATTTTAATGTTTCTTCTTCCATTCTTTCTTTTCCTTTATATTTTTTTGGTTTTATAGGTTCATATCCTTTGAAATCAACTGGGATAGGATAGTCGAGTATCGTTCCGTATAATTGTTCTTCGACTTCTTCGAACCATTCTGATGTATCTGTCCAATCTTCGTCAGGTAATGGAATGAATTCGGGGTAACATTCGTCACAATATTGATCGTGACAAGGCATCTGACATTCGGCACAAAGTTGAATTCCCATTTGTACTAATCTTGCTTCTAATTCTGATCTAGTGGGGCACATTTGTTGGTAATTTTGATGAAACCATTCGGTATTGTCTAACCATTCATATTCGATTGGTTCAGGGTAAGGTGATTCTTTAATTTCTCTAATTCGTTCAGGAGTTGCGCCGTTTGTTAATTCACGACCCATTCTTTCTAATAATTGCATGTCGTGTGGGTATCCTTCGATTCGTCCGATCGCCCTAATATAAGCGGAGCTGAAAGGCGTTCCATTTCGGGTCCATTGGGCGATTAAGAAGGCGTACTGGCAATGTAGATCGCAAACTGCTCCGTCTTTTCGGGAAATATCAATCCATTCATCTTTCTTTCCCATTATATCTCCACAAGTGAGACATTGAGTATTATCCCATAATCCGGGTGTATATTCTCTTCCGAATTTATCAATATGACATCGTTTACAATAATAGTGTGTCTCATGGTTCCATTCTTCGTCCGGGTGGATCTGAGCTGTCATGGAAGATAATTTCTTTTGACAAATAGAACATTCGTACCTAGGGTGTCGTTTCGGTTTCTGACGATCGTTGGTTTTTCGTTGATATCCTCTAGTTGAAGTTGAAGTTTCTCTAGTATTGTTTTTGTTTCGAAGTTGAGGAATGGTGTAGTGGGAAGGCGATTCAGGTAGGTAACTTATTTCCGGTTTATAGGGATCCTCTATTCTTACGGATCCATAGCTGATTGGTACTATTACTTCCTGGCCATTATATGAAATAGACAGTGAGTTTCGGTTCCAATCCATGGAAGCATTGGCCTTTCCCAACCAGTCGTTTCCTACGAGAGCTTGGTATTGAGAGGCGTCCATCACAAGTACTTTAATAGGGATGGTTACGCCTTCAACTTCAAACGGAAATTCGTCAATTTCTCCTAATGGAGTACTTCTTTCGCCTCCAGCGGTTATAATATCAGTTGAAGCAGGTCGGTCAATCTTTTTTCCAATCTTTTCGATTAATTTCTTAGTTACTATACTTCCGGCAGAACCTGAGTCAATAATTAGTTTTATACTTCTTCCGAGGACCTTTGCTTCGGTAGTCATAGCTGTCGTCTTTTTCTGACTAACAGAAGTAGTTACTGATACCATAATAGGTTCGTCTTCGGAATCCTCTTCTTCGGAATCGATCTCTTCCTCTGATTCGTTTTGTTCAATTAGCTGATTATTGGCCAAATAAGTTCGTTGGGTATTTCGAGTGATGTTATTTCGATTCATCCTCTGGTTTTGTGGTTGATTGGTATAGGTCTGACTTCCAAATGATCGGTTACCCTGGAATCTTTCTCTATCTTGTCTTGGCGTATATGTTGAATTATTTCGACTGTAATTTTGGCTTGGGAATCCTTGCCTAAGTGGCATTCTAGGATTCAAATACATCGATTGGTTTTGGGGATATCTATTCATAAGCCTTGTGTATTGAGGATTGGGATTGGATCGTTGTTTTTGTTGGTCAAATAATCTGGTGCGACAAATTCTCATCATATGTCCTTTCTTTCCGCAATAATGGCATTGTATATCGTCATTCGTACGTCGGCTTTCTTGTTTCGGTTCAACTCGTCTTGGAACGGTCAGGGATTGAATGGCTCGTTCCAATTTCTGTATTCGTCTTTCTTCGGGACTGTCTTCTTTTCCGTTCAGTACCGTGTTGACACTGGTAGTGAAGTCGCTGTAGGCAAGTATAGTCTCTGCATCTTTTGCTTTTTTATATGCTTCGGCTAAAGTCCTAATTCTCGGGTTATAAACCTTTTTCCGTAGTTTTTGGTCTAACCCTCGGATAAATAAATCGGCTTTTTGTTTCATGGTGTAATATTCTTCAGTAGAATCTGCTCGACGAAGTAATTTAATAAAATCTGCATAGTATTTTGCAACACTTTCGGTTGATTGCTTTCGTAGTGTAGCTAAACGGGCATGGTGTTTAGCGGTTGTAGCATCATCGGAAAAGTATCGAAGAAATTCGATCATGAATTGTTCGAAGTCATTAGTGATGGTATCGGGAAGAAGTTCGTACCACTGAGCGGCAGTTTCTTTCATTGCCATTGGCACTTGTCTCAAAGCGATTTCGTCATCCCAGCTGTTAGCCTTGCATACTTTGATGAAACTTTGGAGCCATTCCATGGGATCCTCGTCATCGTCGTTTCCATAAAACGATGGAATCCGGTGTTCTTTCTGAATGTACGCGATAGAACTTGAACCAACTCCTCCGGTGGTCTTTCCTTTTCCTTTTCCAAAGCCTGGAAATGGCAATTTCGTAGGTTTGTTTTTGTCCGAGTCATCGTCTGGATCTTCTTTTCCTTCATCCTTGTTCGCTTTTCTTGCCAAAGCTTTTAGTCCATCAAGGAGATTAGTGGATTTTGGTGATGCAGTTTTTTCTTGGTCTTCATTATTCGTTTTTCCTCCGAAGTTATATCGTTTTGTTGTTGATGATTTGGTCGGGGGTTTTGTGGTTTGACTTGGTCCGGCTTCGTTTTCCCATTCGTTCTCGACCTGAAGGGTATCGTATTCTTTCCCATATAGATTTTGCTCTATTATTGTTGTTGCCATAGTTTCTAACGGATCCGGAATATTTAAATTTAAATTTTCAGGTGGTGATTCGAAGTCTAGAAATTCTTGATGTTCTTCCTCGGAACTATAATTGGGTTGATTATTTGTTCCTTCGGTGACTTCAGAGTTTTCGTCGTCTTCTGGATCTGAGTCGTCAGGTAAGATTTGTTCGTATTGAATTTGTTCTGTTTCTATTTCTTCTTCGTATCCGGTTATATTTAATATAGAATCTTGATTTTCTTCTTCAGAATCAGATTCTGGTCTAAATAATCTTTGGTTCGGAAGCTCCTTTCTGCAGAACCGATAAATTAATTCGTCCAATCGATTATTATAGTATCGATAGTATTTTTCTCGAAGTGGGACGGAAGTTTGTTGTTTCAGACTATATATAAGATCAATTTGACTTTCTTTATAGTATTCGGCTCCTAATATATGTAGTGTGATTCGGTCGTCAAAGTATTTGTTGAAACTCGATTTTAATAGGTCCGTTCCTTCTATCTGATGGTAGTCCTTTAGGTGATTATAAAATAGTTCTTTTGTTTCGCGAAGGGAATCTCTTGAGATAGCCACGATGATTAATATTTAATTTCTTCTTTTTGTTTGTAGGTTCGTTTCGCTTCGGGATCGTTATTTAATCGATCCCCCTGCTGTGAGCACCAAATGTTACGGTGCGATATTAGAATATAAAAGGTAGTCGATATGCCGTGGTCACGTGATATTTATTGTGATCGCAACGTAACGTAAGATTGTTTGTAATCTTCTCAATTGTAATTGCCAATTTGTAATTAAGTGTTAATGTAA